TAAGATTTAAAACTTTCTTAAATATATCTATCTAAAATTTTTTAGAGTGAATCGGCTATTGAAAGGTAGTTTTTAAATAAGAAAATTTAAATTAAAACTTTTATAATGTTGTTAAAAATGGAGTGTTTTCTAATCAAAAGCAGTTGGACTAAAAACTTATTTTCAGGATTGTTTTCTTTGAATGATTAGCTCGGTACACTGTTTTCTAGAAAAGTTTTTTAAACTAAAAATAGTTTGACTATTTAACTTGAAATTAATTTAACTTTTAGCATGTTCAATGGTGCTAAAAAACAATACTTAAAATTAAATCAATAAAAAATAAATTAGCAAAATAAATTATTAGGTTTAAAAAAAGTAAAAAACTTTTTAAATTGTTTTATTTTGTAAAAAATACTTTTTTGTTGATAAAAAAATTAAAAACAAAATAGAAGTAAAAAGTAGTTTGCATAACAAACAATAAAGTGTATTATGGAAAACGCCTGAGTTTATTAGTTTTGCTATTTTATTGACAAAAGTCTGTTTGCCTGAAGCTTTGTCAACGGCAAACAAAAGATTTAGAAACACTGGCTTTTTTGTTGTTTACAAAATTGTTAAAAAAGGATTTTTTGGTTTAGTTTTAATACAAAAAAGTTTTTTCAATTTGTCTGTCAAGTTTTTTTTCTAATTTAAATTTTTGTTTGTGTTCTATATTCTAAATTAACTCAACAAAAAAAATAATAAAACGAATTTGAATCCGTCAAATTCGATTCTTTCTTTACAGTTGTTTTTTTGCTTTGACACACTGTTTTTTCAAAACACTTTCCTAAGAAAATGCCCCCTCCCAAAGAGGAGACGCTGACGCTGAATGAGCAGACGATGAACGTCTTCAAGAAGAAGGGCTACACCATTCAGAAGAAACTGAGTGAGGGCGCCTTTGGTCAGGTCTTCAAGGGCACCTACACCAAGACGGAGCAGGACGTCGCCATCAAGGTACAAACAGAGCAAATTTTTTATCACTTATTTCTCCTCATGATCCATTTTAAGGTAATGTTTCTCGAAAAACTGGACGCCGGCTACAAGGACAAGTTCTGGCCGCGGGAGCTGGAGGCGCTGATCAGCATTCGTCATGAACACGTGATCAGCATTTTTGGTAACCTTTTGAAATTTTTTTCACTTTATGATTTTAGTTAACCCAAACTCTTTTACTACCCCATTTTCCAGACATCATCAAAGCCGATGGGAAGCTATTCATCTTTATGGGTAAAGGTGTTACCGTGTTAAGAGATAACCTGTTGTAAACTGCGGTTTCTACCAAAACAGAATACGCCAACGGGGGCGACCTGGCCGATTACCTGAAGAAGAATGGCGCCATGCCGGAGACCATCGCCTGCTACTGGTTCACGCAGGCGACACAGGCGCTGGCGTACATGCACGACAAGGTGGGCATGGCGCATCGGCAAGTCATTTACTCGAGATATAGAACTTACTGAGTTTGACAAATTCTACTACCACTTTAGAGACATCAAAATCGACAATCTGCTGCTGCACAACCACAAGGTGAAGGTGACGGACTTTGGCTTTGCCCGCCAGGTGGTCAACAAAAAGGGCGAGGTCATCCTCTCGGGGACCTTCTGCGGAACGCTGCCCTACCAGTCGGTAAGCTGGATCAGGAGTAATTTTATTTTGCTTCATTATCTCATGAAATCTTTGCTACTAGCCGGAAATAATCGCCCAGAAGATGTACGACCCAATCAAGGCGGACTGCTGGGCAATGGGTAGGTTTTAGTAGGAGAAACACAATTTTTAAATGGTATTCAGTAAACTTGGTTTTCCCCTTTTACCAGGCGTCACGCTGTTCTGCATGCTGAACAACAAGTTCGTCTTTCACTACGACAACGAGGAGGAGATGCTGAAGGAGCAGACCAGCGGGGCGGACTTTGTGAAAAGCCGCTACACCAGGAAGTTCCCCGCCGACCTGAGGGACCTGCAGGAGAAGCTACTTCACCCCAGCGAGGCGAAACGCCTCAGCATGGCCCAGGCGCTGAAGCACCCGTGGATTGTGCGCAAGGGCAAGTGAGTAAGAGGGAAAAAGCGGAAAAATTAGGATCACCTTTGTTGCAGCCACCAGACAAATGAAAGTATGGTATAAAAAAGAAAAAGAAAAAGTAGTGTAAAAGTACGCTTGCACTGCATGTTTAATGTTTAAAATTTAAGTACTACAAATTACGACAAATAAATTACAAATGTTTAAAAGGCAATTACTGTTTATTTTGTATATTTGGAAAAAAACATTAGGCAAACAAAAAGTGCACATAACTGAAATTTTGTTTTTAAAAACAATAAAAAGATATTTAAAACAAAAACTAAAAATTTTAAAATCGTTAAACAAAAAACTAAAAATCTTAAAAAAAACAAAACATGTTTTCCTGCCTGTACGAAAAACTGTTCCACTGTCAGTACCACCTGTTCAAAACGCTGGCCACTACGCAGACGGCTAAAAGTAGAGCACTTTATCACCTGTTAAACCTGGCCGTCTTCCTCTACGCTAGCGCCCGAGGCCTCGGGCCGCCGCTGGTGAGCTGGAGCGGAAGTGGAACGCTGGAGCTCCTCTGGCGCCATGACTACCTCTACGCCTTCTGGCGGCCGAACAGCGCCCAGTTTGACCTCTTCTTCTTCATCATCTTCTGGCCCTTTGCACTGCTCACCTACGCGGCACAGTCACTGCTCAGCGAATTTCCGGTCAACCGGCGGACCCGGGTCAGCTGGAGCACCCTCTACCAGTCGATAGTCCTTAATACTGACCACTACTTCCGCTGTCGATGGGGGCCGGTAAAGAGGAGGAAGATTCTGGCCAAAGAAGCGGCAAAGGTTGAGCAATGTTTTAAGGACAAAGTTAAAAGTCGGTGGATTTTGAAGGGTGGTATAAAGCAAACTGCCCAAAGTGTTGCTCGACTGAAAAGTGTTGTCAACTTCGAGTTTTTCCTAAATCGGCTGAAGTTTATGCAAAAAACTATCATCAAAGTACTGCCCAACTACTCGTTGGCTATTCGGCTACTCTTTTTTAAAGTGAACCTTCTAGCAGACATTGTCTGGATTTTTATACAACTCTTTGCAGGTGAGCCTACTCGTTAAAAATGAGTTTTAATAATGAGTTTTAAACTGGGGCTTTCTTAGTAATTTTTTCAGCCACCGTCTTTGCCCTGATGGCCCCCAATTACCTGGGCCCCTTTCCCCGAAGCCTTTGGCCGCTGTACGGCGCCTGGTACCTTTTTGACTGGGCAGTGCTGCTCTACGTCGTCCTCGAACTGATAACGATGGCGCAATTTTTGGCCGCCTACACACTGTCCAGCACGCTGGCCAGCTTCCGCCATATGCAAGCCTTCTACCGTCCACTGGAGGCTGATATTCGAAAGTTTAAAAACCCTCAAAACTGCTCCAAAATACCTCTTTCTCTTTCCGCTTATCAAAATCTCCTAGTAGAACACCAGCGGATATGTTTCATTTACCTTCGTCTGAGCAGGGACATCTTCAATCTGACGAGTTACTTTCTCGTGCTCACTCTGCTGCCCATCAACGTCTACTCAGTGTCGGTGCTGGTTCTAGGGCGGCAGTTTGGCCCGATTAAAGTCGTCTACATTCTTATCATCGTCATTGAGGTGGTGGTAATGGCGGGCAGTACTCTGCCCGCCCAGCTGACTGCAGTCCTGCACCGACCTGCAAAGTTTATTCCCAATGTGCAGTGGATGGTCCTAAAGTCAAAGCGAATACTCAACTGTAAAAAACTACAGTTGTTAAAACTAAAACTAAAGTACAGGCAAAACTCACACTACATAATGCTTTTGTGCAGCACACTGATTATGTACATGCGAACGTGTTGCCTATTTTTTCGTAAAAAAATCTAAGATTTTTAACAAATTTTTAAGATTTTAGTTAAAAATCTTTTTAACTCGATCTTTAAAGTAGAAACAAAAACAAAATAACACAAACTACAAAATTTTTTTTATATAACTTATTGCCATTATGTACTTGCGAACCATTATGTAGTGTGAGTTTCGCCTGTACGACAATTTGATGCTGCTGCTGACCAGCGGGCCAAAAATTGCGCTCAGTGTGGGACCACTGCAGCAGCTGACCAAGGCCAATTTGTATAAGGTTGGCTGAAAAATATTTATTTCTATTTTATGTTAGCAATTAATTTGTTTTAAACAGTTTCTTGGTTTCTACACTGGAACGCTCTTTCTGGTGCTGAAAATATTTAAAAATCATCGACTTTTTAGTAACTAGTTTTTTAACATAAAAAACATTTTTATGTTTAATTTAAAATACAACAAATTACAGCAAAAAAACTACAAATTTCAAAAACCTAATTACTGTTTAAACTTTTTTGTTTAAAAAAATAGTCAAACAAAACATACGCACACACACACTGCAAACTGTTATTAGTTTTCAGTGCACTGAACACTTGAGTAAAAAAGGAAAAAAAGGAAATTTGCAATTAACAAAATATTTTGCCCAAATTATTCTGAATAATATTTTTAACAACTTGTATTGATATGTACTTTTTTATATAAATTTATTTTTTCTTAAAACCCAATAAAAAACTAAATATCTCAAACAAATAAAAACATGTTTTCAATGATTTACGAAAAACTATTTCACTGTCAGTACCACCTGTTCAAAACGCTGGCAACACAAACTCCTAAAAGTAAAGCGTTTTACCAGATTCTAAACACAGTCGTCTTCTTCTACCTAAGTATCCGCGGCCTAGGACCGCCATTTGTCAGCTGGACCGGAAATGGAACACTGGAGTTCATCTGGCGCCATGACTACCTCTACGTTTTCTGGCGTCGGAACAACGCCCAATTTGACTTTTTCTTCTTCATCATTTTCTGGGCTTTTGCACTGCTCACTTTTGTAGAACAAACTTTGCTCGGCGAATTTCCGTTCAACAGTCGAACTCAGGTTTCTTGGATCACTCTTTACCAGTCTTTAGTTCTCAACACCGAGCACTACTTTCGTTGTCAGTGGGGGCCGGTAAAACAAAGGAAAATTTTAGCAAATGAAGCAGCAAAGGTGGAAAGATATTTAGAAGAGAAAATTGTCAACTGGTGATTTTTAAAAAAAATTAGAAAAGTAACTGCCCAAAGTGTTGCTCGACTAAAAACTTTCACCAATTTGGAGCTCCTGTTCAACCGGCAAAAGTTTATGCAGAAAAATATCATCAAAGTTCAACCCACCTACTCATTGGAAACTCGGCTACTCTTTTTGAAAGTAAACCTTTTAGCAGACATTTTCTGAGTTCCGGTACAGTTTTTAGAAGGTATCGATTAGTTACATAACTGTTAAATAATCTAAAAACACTTTCCTAGTTCTTGTTACAGTGGCCACAGCTGCCCTGCTAGCTCCTATTTACCTGGAGCCTTTTTCCTGAACTCTGCGGCCGCTGTACGGCGTTCTATACTTCTTTGACTGTACATTGGCGCTGTACGTCGTCCTCGAGCTGTTTACAATGGCGCAGTTCCTCGCCGCCTACACACTGTCCAGCACTCTTGTCAGCTTCCGACACATTCAGGCCTTCTACCGTCCACTGGAAGCGGATATTCGAAAGCTTAAAAATTCTCAAAATTGCTCTAAAATAGCTTCTTTATTTTCTTACCAAAGTTTGCTTGTGGAACACCAGCGGCTGACCTTCATCTACCTTCGCCTGAGTGAACATTTGTTCGGCCTGACCAGTTACCTTCTCGTACTGACGCTGCTGCCCATCAACGTCTACTGTGTGGCGGTGCTGGTCCTGGGACGGCAATTTGGACCCATCAAAGGCGTCTACCTCATCATAATCTTCATTCAGTCGGTGGTGATGGCCGGCAGTACGCTGCCTGCCCAGCTGACTGCAGTCCTGCACCGGCCGGCCAAGTTCATTCCCAATCTGCAGTGGATTGTCCTTACACAGAAGAAAATACTCAGCTGTAAAGAACAGCAGCTCTTAAAACTAAAACTAAAATACGACAGCTTGATGCTGATGCTGACCAGCGGGCCAAAAATTGCGGTCAGGGTGGGACCCCTTCAACAGCTGACCAAGTCCAATTTGTATGAGGTCTGCTAAGCGCCATTATTTTCGTTTCAAATTAGTGCTAATTTATTTTTTTTGCTAACTAGTTTCTTGGTTTATACACTGGAACGCTCTTTCTGGTGCTGAAAATATTTAAAAATCATCGACTTTTTAGTAACTAGTTATTCAACTAAAAATGTGTAAAAGTTTTCAAAATTAAAAGTGTTTAAATGGTTTGTCGTTTTTATCGTTGATTTAAACGTTTTGTAAAATTTTTTATTTTGATAATTAAACAGGCAATTAATAACAACAAAAATATTTTGCAATTATGCATGACAACACGATAAAAATACATTTGTAGAGTATTTTTAATGTTTAAAATTAAGTACAACAAAATTACAACAAAAAACTACAAAGAGCAATGCCCAAAATAAGTCATTTTTGGGTCTAAATTGAGCAG